TTTATTTGTCAGAGAGAGAGAAAGAAATAAGCAGGGGGAGTGGCAGGCAGAGGAAGAAGCAGGCTTCCTGCTGGGCATGGAGCCCGATGTGGGACTCCATCCCAGGACCCTGGGATCATGACCTGAGCCAAAGGCAAACGTTTAATGGACTGAGCCATCCAGGCATCCCAGAAGGTGGATAGTCTTAAGAAGAAGTATTTTGTTAATTCTCCTATCATTCAGATACATTCTTGACAGTGAAATGTTTTTAAATGTTGGCGTATATGTGATACAGAAAGAAGTGGTTGGAAAACAGTTTTAGTGAATTTCAATTTTAAATATTTGGGGAAATGACCAAAAAGCTGGAAGTGTGATGGTAGTCTTATTTTGTCTTTTAGATATTAAGCACCGCCGAATACCAATCTTATTCTTTGCAAACAAAATGGATCTTAGAGATGCAGTGACATCTGTAAAAGTGTCTCAGCTGCTGTGTTTAGAGAACATCAAAGATAAACCATGGCATATTTGGTAATGTTTTATATTTACTCTTCATTATAGCATTCTGAAAAAAATCTCTGAGCTTCAATTCTTCCCTCCTAAGCACATTGTATACGTCATCTAACATGATAAAATGTAAGCTAAGGATTTAGTTGTGTAGAATTGTAGCAGTGCAGGTATTCATGAGTATATTATTATTAAAACTTTTTCCAATCTTGGGGCACCTAGCTGGCTCAGTCAGAGCATGCAGCTCTTGACCTCAGAGTTGTGAGTTTCAGCCCCACATTGGGTGTAGAGATTACTTGAATAAATAAATCTTAAAAAAAAACAAAAAAAACTTTTCATATCTTTCTGAGGATACAAAAATATAAACAACTCTTTAAAAGAATAATTTAGCTCACTTACCCAGTTTCAAGCACACTGATTTTCTTCTGCACATTGAATCAGCCAACCACAATCCCATCTCAGGACTTTTTTGTACTTGTTAGTCCCTTTGTCTGAATCCGTCTCCAAAATGATTTTCCTGGCTTGCTATTGTACTTCCTTCAGGAGAGAGACCTCTCCTGATAACCCTCCAAAATATCATTATCTTACCCCGACCCTTGTTTTTTTTTATACACTTTGCTTTATATTTCTCTTGCCATGTCCTCTGGGTTTTTCTTGTTTTATGGTCTGTCTACCAATACTAGTGCATTAGCACCATGAGAGCTGGGATTTTATCAGTTTCATTCACTCTGTAACCCCTAGAATAATAGTAGTACCAGGTACTTAGTATGTACACAACAAATACTGGTTTATATGAGTATATAGAAATGTAAATATTATTTGGATATACTAAGACAATTGAACTCTTCAGTATTTAGTATCTAAAATTATTATACATTGTTTATTTGGAAAGCAGTTTCTTATGGTTATATTTAACGCTGGTGTGCCTTTCTGCCAAATATTCCAATAAGGATAACCAGAAGTTATATATTAGATAGTATTTTAGTGCCTACCTTATATTAATTTGAGCTCCTTTCTATCCACCCACCTACTTCCCTCTGCTGCAAGATGTCCTTCTCTTGCCAGTTTTCCCTTTCTTAAAAGAAGGTATCTATGGAGGAAGACCTAACAAAGAAGCAGAGAAATATACTGCCTCTAGAAAGAGAAACAGAATATGGAACAAGGAGATAGTAGAGCTCAGTAAAGAACTTCCAGAGCTAACCTTGGTGCTGAAAAAGGAATCTCATAGAAGAGAGCTTGAGAAAGCCCTTGAAACGCCTCAATACTCAGGGCCATTAGCCCCTCTACCCAGGAATGAAACACTACATATCTTTGGTAGAACCCTCCTTACTTTGGAATCAGAAGAAGAGTCAATTTTACAAAATGTCTCTTGATTTGGAATTTGTGGTTCTGTGATATTTGGTTGGTAAAGAAAGGAGGGATTTTAGGTAGAGAAGTATAGGTAGAACCTTTATATTTCTCTAAATCATACCTTTTTTTTTTTTTTTAAAGATTTTATTTATTTATTTGAGAGAGAGAGAATGAGAGACAGAGAGCATGAGAGGGAGGAGGGTCAGAGGGAGAAG